TAAATTTAAAAAGGTAACATCAAACATGATGATCCCCTTTAATATACTGTCCACTTAACTTCCAAAAAAGTGAGGTCACGGTCTTTAAATTGTTTAACAAGAGCTGTCCGTAAGACAGCGCGCTCGACTTTTTTATTGCTTGCCAATAAAAAAAGTTTTTGCAGTAAAAGGCAATACAAGAATCTCTGTATTTTTAAAGTGAACTAGTTGTTTGATACCCTTGAATATTACAGCAATGTTTATATGACATAATTTATGGTAAAGTGAACAAGTGGATAGGAATGAATTTTTTTAGATTTTTTAAGTTTTTTAGTGCTTGCCTATAATACAAAACATTGACAGTTAAGGGCCATAATTCAAATAAAATCTTTGACAGAATTACCTTCTCCTGGACATGTTTGGGAATCATGATGGTAAACAAGTATTCCAACTTTCAAATTAATATCTCAAACAGTTCAGTCAAAAAGTGGACTGGTACTAAAAACTTAACCAAGATTCTAAGTCGATAAAAGGCCTTAATTTTTAAAACAAATCCTTGACAGAGTTACCTTCTCTTGCGTACAGATGGGGGTAATGATGTGAAATAGCATTAAAAGTTTCAAAGCAATATCTCAAAGGATTAAGGCAATAAGTGGATTTTACCCATATTCAATGTATTTTCTAAGTCAAAAAGGGGCATAATTCTGTCAAAAACCTTGACAGAGTTATGTCCTCTTGTCTGTTGATGAAGGTCGTGATGGTAAACAAGTATGGTCAGTTTCAAAGCAATACCTCCAATGGTTTTGAAATAAAGTGAGGTGGTACAAAAAACTTAACCAAGCTCAATACACTTTCTAAGTCAAAAAAGGGCCATAATTCTGTCAAAAACCTTGACAGAGTTATGTACTCTTGTCTGTAGATGGAGGTTATGATGGTGAACAAGTATGGTAAGTTTCAAAGCCATACTTGTAATACTTCTGAAATAAAGTGGGGTGGTACGAAAAACTTAACCAAGGTGTGACGCCAACGCCGACGCTAACGCCGACGCCGACGCCGGGGCGAGTAGGATAGCACCCCTTTTCATAGAAAAGTCGAGCTAAAAATAGTTTAAATTTTAAAACAGTTCATGTTCCTGTGGGGGGGGGGGGGAGGGGGGCAGGGTAGGATTTAAGCTGTTGGCATGACATGGAATAATCTTCAGTTTAATTGGCATGACAATTAGGAATAATCCTCATTTTAATTGGCATGACATGGAATAATCCTCGGGTTAATTGGCATGACATGGAATAATCCTCGGGTTAATTGGCATGATTTATTTATGTATTAATATTGCTGAGCACATTCAAGGTTTATATAATTAGGATTCTACACATTAAAAACAATACCATCACATAATTAATCATCTTAAATGTCAGTTAAGCCTTGATTGACAAGTGACCCTCACAAATAAATGCATATTCTGATCTTATTATACATATATATATAACACCATTTACAATATATCAATGATCAAAATATACCACTGTTTGTACTGTGACTTATGTATTTCCTATACTGCTTAACAGATCGGTTGCTTAATTCCTCAGTCAAGTATAAAATCTGTGTTTACAGTCATACTGTCATACAGGAAGATCAAGTTTATCAATTTGACATATCAATATATAGAATATTGATATAAATACAAATTCTATGTTAAAATTGGCTTAATTTTTATTTGCCTCAGATCTGCAGTCTTAGAGAATTGCAGGGTAACAAAATGCTGTTATATCAATGTTGACATAGGGTTGTCTAAGCACCAAAATATATTCACATTACTTAAATGCAACAGGACTTTTCTCCATTTAGCAAATATCAAGCCTTGGTGAATGATCTTATTATATATGAAGACTTTTTTGTATTTCACAGGAATACTTTGCTTAGCTTGTGAAGATAGAACTTGCATACCTAATAGTCTACTAAATTTATTTTACAAAGGGGAATAATTCGGTTAATGACCTACAACCTTGAACCTGAAGATGTGTATATTTTCAAGTGAATACATTTATGTGGTTCAGATGTTGAGAAAGACTGTGCTTATATACATGTACAAATCTTAATACCTGCCAGTTCACAAAGAGAAATAAATTCAGTGAAGATCCATCGTTAGTCAGAGTTACGGACCTTTAATTGTCAGTTACCTACAAAGAATTGTATAAAGTTTCAAATAAATTCATTTTTTTTTTTACTTTAATGAGATATGAAACCTTAACCAAGGTCAATGCCATTTCCAGCCCTGGCATTTTAACTATTTATTTTTTAATGTTTGAGCTATTTATAGGAATGGAACATTGATATCTGGATAACCCAGCCAGTTCAAACAAACAAAAAACTTTTTTTTTTAATGAACAGTATGGCCTTGACCTTTTTATTATGGTTTATAACACACTTTTGCATGATCAAGTTTTATTGCCTCTAAATTCTTGTGGTTCCCACCCTTAAATCAAACCCATTTCCTGTCAGTCCTTTCAAATAAAGCACATTATAACCTGGCGATACTTAAAGCTGAAAAAAAATTCTATTTTAAGTTCTTTTTGTGGAAAATTAGACAGACGGAATGAACTTCTTAAGGGGTATGTGGACTGAATAAATATTGATTCAAACATAAAAATAAAGAATGCATACAACATGTTTGACGGGACAATAATTTTTTCTGAAATTTGTCTTCATGAAAACTCAATCCATTACATTATCAGCCCAATACAACTTCCCTCTTCATTATTCACCATCAGGACTCCTATTTATTTTGTTATCAGCAAACCAATCCTGTTTAAATCACTTACTTTATTTGTTTAGAATTATTGTTTGCGGAAAACATGAAATAGTTCCTAGCAACCACATTCAAAGTCTTGTATTTGTACTGATACAATTAGATGAAAAATAATTATTTTTTTTATAAATATCTGGATTATATAATGAGGAAAATTATTTCAATTTTTCCTGGACAGTCAGTTATTTTATCACACTTTACATATGAACATTTCAGATACAGCTAAATTAGAATTAACCTTGCCTTACCACGCTTAAAATATCTTAAAATATAAAAATATAATTTGGAATTATAAAGCCATTCATCATTTTCAGTTTATACAAATTTATTTTAGTTTGATTGTGTTGGAAGCTATATATAACAAGAGCCATGTCAACATGGCCATCCCCCGCCGAATGTGTTTGCTCATTGGAAGAATGTATATGTAGTAGAGCAGAATAATTCCATTTTAAGAGGTCTTTTGGTAATGAAAACTGATGGCTATAGTGATTACAGATTTGAAACCTATGTGAATACTGATGGCTGAAAATAACAAAGGGCAATAACTGAAAAATAATGCAGGGTAGGTTATCATTCTTGTGTGCTGCATCCCTCCTCAGTAAAATCTATCCACCTATGAAGTTTCAAGTTGATACCTCAAATACTTTTTGAGAAAAAAATTGAATTGAAAAATTAAGTATGAAAAATAACAAAGGGCAATAACTCAAAAATTATAAAAGGTATAGTTATCATTCTTGTGCAGTGCACACCTCCTGAGTGAGATCTATGCACCTATGAAGTTTCATTTTGATATCTCAAAGGCTTTTTGATTTATGCTCTGGACAAAAATTAATTTTGAAAAATAACAAAGGGCAATAACTCAAAAATAATGCAGGGAAGAGTTATCATTCTTAAGCACTGCACTCCTCCTCAATGAGATCCATCCACCTTTGAAGTTTCAAGTCGATACCTCAAATACTTTTTGAGATAAGCTCTGGACAAAATAGCATGAAAAAAAACAAAGGGCAATAACTCAAAAATTGTATAGGAAAGAGTTATCATTCTTGCGCACAACATTCCTCCTCAATAAGATCTATCCACCTATGACATTTCATGTTGATATCTCAAACCCTTTTTGAGTTATGCTCCACTCAGGTGAAAAATTAGGTATGAAAAATAACAAAGGGCAATAACTCAAAAATTATGAAAGATAGAGTTATCATTCTTGTACACTGCACACCTCCTGAGTGAGATCTATGCACCTATGAAGTTTCATGTTAATATCTCATAGGCTTTTGGAGTTATGCTCTGGACAAAAATCAATTTTGAAAAATAACAAAGGGCAATAACTCAAAAATCATGCAAGGTAGAGTTATCATTCTTGTGCACTGCACTCCTCCTCAATGAGGTCTATCCACCTATGAAGTTTCAAGTTGATAACTCAAATACTTTTAGAGATATGCTCCGGACAAAAATGTCGGACGGATGGACGGAAGGACGGAAGGTCGAACGGACGGAAGGTCGGACGGACGGACGGAGACTATTTCTATATCCTCCACCGAAAATTTTCGGCGGGGGATAATTATAAGCTTATTGAAACACTCTCAAATCCAAGCAGTACTATGCAATGAATGTAAAGTTTTTTGCTCAAGGAAACAACGACTTGCCCCATGACAGGGTTTGAACCAACACGGTCAGCAATCTTTAGATTACTAAGTCCAACGTGTTAACCACTCGGCCACACCACCACTCATTCATCACTTTTAGAAAATACATAATTATTATAAGTAAAATAAAATATAATAGAACAATATAATGGACCTAAGAAAAAGCTAAAAGAACATAATAGATGAACATAATTATAAATTAAAGAAATCGGTATAACAGAGCATAAAGTAAGATTAACAATTATGACAAAAACGTGATAAAAGAAAACAACAAAATAATAGGATGAAAGACACAGGTGGTGCTAGAATCCAAAAAATACAATAAACAAACATACCATAATACTAATAACAATTTTAGTTAATAATAGTGAAAAAATTTAAAAGTGTATAAAAATTTTTTTGATACTTGCACATGTGATGACAATGATAATATTGATGGTATCAATTTATCAAAGACACAAGATAACGAGTGCAGTACTAAAGAACATAATAAAAGCAATTGAGAACCCCCCCATCCCATCCACACCCCCTCCCCCTCCAGAGGAACAAACAAGTAGCATAAATCTTACCAGATCATCATTGCTAAATATACTGGCAGTATCCTCATCTTCGGGAATTGTTGGTTGCCCGTCCATGCTGTCACAACGCTGCATAAACACTGCATCCCCATCCACCGTTACACATGCTGAAATTAACGCAGATAATCTATTTATAGCATTAATAAAAATAAATATGTCATTAATTAAAGAAGAGCTGAGGCAGATGAGTAAAAAAACTCTGGGAGTTAACAACATCATTAGCAACCTCATTTCCTAAGAAATTAATCGAGACTTCCCAGTTACGTTGTTTTTTTTCTTCTCAATTATAATGATATCAAAAACCTGTTTCCAAAGAGCACAACAAAAAGTTCAAGGGCCTAAAGCAAAAGTGCAATAACTTTTTAAAACTGTAGAAAATAATATGAAAGTTTGTAATGAAAATCATGAATGTTTATTAAACTTAATGATGCTTAAAAAAAATGTTCCCTTTGTTGTGGTGGGGAATGGGTCAAAAAAGGTTAAATTAACAACCATTATTATGCTTGCATATGATGATGACTGTTTCAAATTCATTTTACAAATAAGAAACCTAACAAGAGCTGTCGGTAGGACAGCATGCTCGACTATTCTTAGTGCTTGATAGTAAAAAAAATGCTTGAAACAGTTACCTCCTCCTGTTTACAGGTTGGGGTCATGATGGTGAAGAAGTGTGCAAAGTTTCAAAGCCATATGTCAATGGACTTTGAAAATATTTGAACTATTACAAAAACTTTAACGTAAATTCTAAGTCGAAAAAGGGGCATAATTCTGTCAAAATGCTTGATAGAGTTACCTCCTCCTGTTTACAGGTTGGGGTCATGATGTTGAACAAGTGTGCAAAGTTTCAAAGCCATATGTCAATGGACTTTGAAAATATTTGAACTATTACAAAAACTTTAACGTAAATTCTAAGTCGAAAAAAGGGCATAATTCTGTCAAAATGCTTAATAGAGTTACCTCCTGCTGTCTACAGGTTGGGGTCATGATGGTGAACAAGTGTGCAAAGTTTCAAAGCCATATGTCTATGGACTTTGAAAATATTTGAACTATTACAAAAACTTTAACGTAAATTCTAAGTCAAAAAAGGGGCATAATTCTGTCAAAATACTTGATAGAGTTACCTCCTCCTGTCTACAGGTTGGGGTCATGATGGTGAACAAGTGTGCAAAGTTTCAAAGCCATATGTCAATGGACTTTGAAAATATTTGAACTATTACAAAAACTTTAACGTAAATTCTAAGTCGAAAAAGGGGCATAATTCTGTCAAAATGCTTGATAGAGTTACTTCCTCCTGTCTACAGGTTGGGGTCATGATGGTGAACAAGTGTGCAAAGTTTCAAAGCCATATGTCAATGGACTTTGAAAATATTTGAACTATTACAAAAACTTTAACATAAGTGGTTACGCCGACGCCGACGCCGACGCTCGGGTGACTGCAATAGCTCTACTTATTCTTATCGAATAGTCGAGCTAAAAACCACTGTGACCTTGACTTTTGACCCTAGTTAACATTTCATTATAGAAGTAATTAATTCATAAATAAAAATACACATTAAAGTTCGACAGTGCCATAATATTGCCAAAGCATTTTCAAGAGTCTCAAGAGGTTGACACTGCATTTTAGATTCACACCAAATGACCTTAACCCTCAATAATGACGCCGCACCCCCTTTCTATTAATACTTATTATATTAGTGACTTCTCTAATATCTAAAAAAGACTTAATTCTGATAAGCTGTGTTTGTTTACACCCTATTTAAATAAAATGAAATTCCAATTCTCTATGTCAAATCAAATTGACTTATTTTAGTCCTATTACTCATTTGACAAACATTAAAATAAATCAATCAATCCTAAAATACTTCTGGGCATATTAACATATAATGCACAAACTGTTTGATTAAAAACTTCCTATATCTTAAATCCATAGTAAGCTTGTTTGGTTTTCTTTTTTACCTTCCTATGTACTGTAAGTATGGAGCTGTCAATAATTATAATTATAAATTTCAATATCAAAACACAAAATCTGATTACCCTACAGAATACAGTCAAGATCAACTGCTTTGATTTGATGACCTAGTTGGTGTTATCATAGTTAATGTAATAATTGGTCAACTCATTATCGCCCCAAGCATTTTATATACAAAATACTATACAAAACGCACACACGTTTTTTCCGCATCATTAAACTAAGGGTAGTCTGACAATCTCTTTATCCTTGAATATTTTCATGTATATTATGTACCTAATATAATATATTTACAGATAACGGTTATGCACTTATTATCTATAATTTCATGGTACACAGCTAGGTACAAATAAATCTATGCTACAAGTTGCTCTGTTCCTTAAATACAGAACAGATGAAGATGAACTGACCAAAGCTGAATGCACCGGCATTTGTAATCACCTATCATAAACTATTTGAATAATAATTATTAATTACGCTTACAGCAAATAAATAGCCAACCAGTGTATACACAGTCAAAGCCATTCAGTATGTTGCCAACTAAGTATTGTACTACGGTGAGTTGGATTGATTCCTATTAGATTAAATATGGAGTTTTGAACCTGTTACTGCACCAGGGCTTCCATTAATGGAAGTTTGGGAGTCATTTACTCCCTGATTTTGGCTTGTGACTTCCAAAATCTAATACTTTTCCTTCTTTACCTATATAATTTGACTTCCAATATCAGAGATTTTGCAGTGTCTGACTTCCAAATTTTGGAACTTAGTGGAAGCCCTGACTGCACTACAGTGTCGATGTCTGAACCATAAGCCAAAGTGTGACCTGAAGCAGGCTCTACACAGCTACTCTATTTAATTACGGGTATATTCTCTTATAAGTACATGTACATCCTGCGTTAACATATTATGTAACCAACTTTTTCCACATGTTCCAGAATGAATTTTAAATTGAGTGGTGTAATTAAGGTGTGAAGGTAAAGTTGAAAATTTAAAACTGTACTTCATATACCTTAGATCGTATACAATTTTTTCAGAGAATTTTCTGCAAGTCTTTAGTTCTCTGAGCCTTATTATAATAATTAAATTTTGAATAATTTTATATATCAATACATGGATAATTTTATAATATGGATAATTTTGTACGTAATTTTATAATCTGGATGATTTCATAATGAACTGAAAAAGATTCAAATTTCAATTATTTTCAATACAGTTTACATTCTCTAAGAACTCACGCAGATGATAAAAGAATTACACAGCAGATTACCCTCTGCAATTCATGAAATACTTAAAGTTTATTTTTTCTCCAAAATGTTTTCACTGTTAAAAATGACTCATCCTTTTCAAATAGACAAAAAACAACTTCAATTTCTCTAAAATATTGGCAGGTTCTACTAAAGCAAAAACTAAACCGTTGAACAAAATTCCTGAAATCTGGGTTATAGATTTTTTTCAAAAAGAATATGGCCTCTTGAAATTGTAGAGATCCTAAGCTTGAGTGAACAACAAAATATTTGCTTTTGTTTTAAACACATTTTTTTCTTTTATAGTAAGGCAGATTTTCATGTGAGATTAAAGTTGTACTGCAAAGCAGCTAAGTTCAAATATAGTTATTTTTAACCATAAACCTGTCTTTTGCATAATCTACCCATCCCACTCCTACAAGGAAAAGTGGGGACTGATTATCCAACCCAGGGGTAAATGTTCAGTACTTGCATTGCACGTTAGGACGTCATATTTTTTACTATTTTAGTGGGGAAGTAAAACCAATGAGTAAAACCATTTCATTTGGACCTGGCACTGTGCAGTGACAATGTGTAAACATATGGCTAATTTTAAACTTCCTGGGTGCCCCTCCCCACACTGCACCTGTAATGGTGGGATCCAGGTCAACAAGGAAGTGCGGATTTCAAGATTTTATTATCCACTAAATACACAATACAGAAACCACAGAACTCTTTAGTCTGTAAATGTTGCATGGTTTTTCCCATCTTATTTCACGGTACAAACAAACTTTTACAGTTACACCTTAGTAATTATACAATGTATAAATAATAAACAAGCTCTTAGCATTGTAAACAATAATACACCACAAAGCTGTAACTGTAAAAGTTTGTTTGTAACACTGGACTAGATGGGAAAACCAACAGTTGCTGAGTTTCAGATTACATCTATTGATAGTTCTATGGTTCTACTCTTCAAGTGCTTGAAATAACAACACAGAGGGTGCCACCTGGTGAGTTTCAACCATCTACCACTGGATGCCACTAAATGACCTTCACATACCATTAAACATACACCAATCTCCTCCAGAAAGAAATCAATTTTCGTAAAAGGGACTTTACAAGTACCTTATTGACTTATAGCATGGTCATACATGATAGGTGGGCAATATTTAATCACTTTTGTATACTGTAGATGCAATAAATCATTTACCTATATACACACCTGTCACAGTGTCCATATCTGGCTAATTACACATTGAAGCCAATGCATGACTCATAAATTATGGGGTAAAAAATTATTGGCAGTTTTATGATACATGTTAATTAAAATGGGGACAAATATGCAGAGACTTAATTGATTCAAGGTCTTTAATATCAATATATTGGTTGATATATTGACAAACACAAGCATTTTATTGTTTGTTTGTGCTTTGTAGAGCTGGTCGCTTTATTTTACCTATTAGATGTGAAAACAGTGTATACCTCCTTGGGTAATGGACAATAACCCACTGGGATAAAAGCCCACTGGACATTTCCTGTGGGATAATTGTCCCAGTGGGATTTTTATCCCAGTGGACAAGGAAGCAATTGTCCTAGAGGACTATTGTAATATATACTATAGTATTGTGGGCTATTTTGTCCTACACTCCTACTCCTTATTTGTCAAGTAACACTTCCTCATATTATTAAGCTGTTTAGAATGTCATGTAGCTACTATGATGGTCCAAAATGGTGCAATACATTAGCGAAATACCGGTATATATATTTTTTTCAACTAAATCATCACAACAAAATATGCAATGTTGACCACCTCAGGAATTTTTAACTTTACAATCATTACTATCGGAAGTCTGTCAGGTGACCACTATAAATATGTTTGCACAACCTGTTACCTTTATGGTATTAATATCCT